ATAAGTAATGGTGCTGTGTGTCCCTGCCAGGCTGCTGCAGGGGTGGATAAATGTCTTAATTCACGGAAAATACTTTCTCCATGTTGAGGCTTTTGTAATACACTTGGATCAGCCAGCTGATGGGAAAGGAATCAGCTGGGGGCTCAGGAGACTTTCCTTTGCCTGGAAAGGAGGCCAGGAAGCACCTGCAATTCCACAGAGGGGGATTCCTGAGCTGAATCCCACTGAGGTTCCACACAGCTGGGGAGGGTGGAGGAGCCTTGGCCGAGCTCATGGAGCAGCTCCCAGGGTTATTCCTGGGCTCTCTGGATGGAGGTGGCACCCGGAGGACCCCGGGAGCTCTTGGCCATGGTGGGACAGGCCACGTGGATGCTGCTGTTGGTTATGGAGAATGATTTTTATGACTCCAGGTAATGAAGGACGCGGCTCCAGAGCTGAATGTGAGCAGCTCGGAAGCTGAAGAGGAAAGGGAGGAAAACAAGCCAGAGGGGGAGCAAGATCCTGATTTTAACCAGGTAGAGATGAAAAATCCTGTCAGGTTCCTTGATTTTTGTATCATCCTCTTGAGTCAGCATGATGGAATCACCACCCTCCTCCTCCTCTGCATCTCACTGGCAGCAGAAAAGTGTCTTAAATTGCTATTTGAATGGTCAAACCACACCAGTGCTGGGTTTGGAGAGATTAAATGTGGGCAGGGATTCATGTGCTTGTGGATATCTGCCCCACACTGGCACTAGGACTAGGAACTGAGGTTTGAAGGCAAAGCCTTTGGTCATCTCCACACTTGCATGCTTCAATTGGCTTCCCAAGGGGTTTTCCATCACTTCCTGCCTTCCCTCACCCGACCAATTGGCCCAAAACACTCTCTGGGATCTGGGAAGGTTGTGTTTATCCCCAAACAACTCCACCTCCTTGTTCTTTGCCTCATCTCCAGGCCAACGGTGGCACGAAACGCCAGAAGCTGTCCCACCAGAGCTACATCACTTACCAAAAACAGGGAATCAGGAGGAGCACGCGGCACCGGAAGGTCCGGGGGGAGAAAGCGCTGCTTGTGTCGGCCAACCAAACCCTGAAAGAGCTGAAAATCCAGGTGAGGCCAGCTCTCCTGCCAGGAAGGAGGGAGAAAACACACAGTGAGGGGCGCAGGGGAAGGGTCTGGCTCCCCCAGGAGCTGGGGATGGGTGCCGGGGCGGGAGGTGCCGCAGCTGCAGGGACGAGGTGTCCGTGTGCCCCCAGATCATGCACGCCTTCTCCGTGGCCCCCTTCGACCAGAACCTGTCCCTGGAGGGGAAGATCCTGAGCGATGACACGGCCACGCTGGGCAGCCTGGGGGTCATCCCCGAGTCCGTCATCCTGCTCAAGGTACCGGCGGGAGGGAGTCGGGAACGCCACGGGATGGGATCAGAGCAGCCAGTGGCCTTGTGTGTGGAAATGGGGAGCTCCTTGGAGGAGAATCCTTAATATTTTTTTGTTTCAGAAGAGGAATATTCATGGATGTTTGAGGGTTTTTTTTTGTTTGGTTGGTTGGTTTTTTTCTGGAGGAGAAAAATCCTTTTTTTCTTTTTTTTCTTTTTTTTTTGTTTTTGTTTTGAAAGAGGAATATCCTTTTGTTTTGTTTTGGAGGAGGAAAAGCCCTATTTTTTTTGTGTGTTAGGGGAGGAAAATCCTCATTATTTTTGTAGGGGAGGGAAATCCTCATTATTTTTGTTTTGGAGGAGGAGGATCTTCAATTTTATTTGTTTTGGAGGAGGTAAATCCTTTTTATCTTTGTTTTGGAGGAGAAAACCCTCTTTTTTTTTTTTTTTTTTTTTTTTTTTTTTTTTGGATTTTTTTTTTTTTTTTTTTTTTTTTCCTTTAATTTATTTCCAAGAGTGCTTTGTAGCTGATACAGCTGCTGAGCTCTGTGGGTAGCAGCCCAAAACACGACTCAATTACGGAGTGAGTCCTTCCATGGAGTTCCCAGTGTTGTTGGGGCAGGAGAGCTGCTCCTCTCCTGCTCTGAGCAGAGCCACGAGCTGTGCTCCTGGTGCCTGTGCTGGTTATTCCCTGCTCCCTTTGCAGGCTGACGAGCCCATCGCGGATTACGCGGCCATGGACGATGTCATGCAAGGTGAGGGGGCTGGGGAAGGGCTGGGAAGGTGGGTAATGGGGATTGTGACCCTCCTTGTCACCAGCTGGGAATCCTCAGAGCCACTTCTAATGCCTTCCTTCCCTTTCCATCCCAGTTTGTATGCCTGAAGAGGGATTTAAAGGTGAGTCCAGGCGTTTTTCCCCCTTTGTACCCCCTCACACGAATCCCACCCCCATCCCATTTCCCTCCTCATCTGCTGCTGGTCTCTTTCCTTCCCAGGGACTGGTTTACTTGGCCACTGATGGTTTTCCAAGAGGAGCGACCAGAAGGGAAGAGAATTTGTCACATGATAGGGCATTAAAAGAATAAAAACAGGTGGATACAGTACTTTTTGACTCTTCCAGAAGGCAAAAATCCATCGTGAGACGTTTGCTCCCCAAAAAAAATACAAAAACAAAACAAATGCCTTATGTCAAAGCAGATTGCACTGAAGGACATCCTGCTTCAGGACAACGTTCCCGGGTTTATTTAACAGAGAACAGGAAGGTTGGGAAGTTGAGCAGCAGTTGGTGTGTGTGGGACGAGGGGTGGCCCTGTGTGTCCCCCAGCCCGGCCGCAGAGGGGTGGGGATCCAGAGCATCCTGATCATTCTGCTGTAACTCTTTAGGGTAATCCTGTCTTTCATCCACCCTTACGCTTTCGGTCCAGCATGGAAGTACAGGAATTGCGACTTCGTGAGCGATGTCTGGCGCTTGCAGACAACAAAACTTCATTTACTTCACCCAAAATGGAAGCTGGGCCCCCCCTCCGCGTCCTTCCACTGTCACTTCACACCTTGGACAATCCAGTAACCACCTGGGCTCTGGGAACTGTGGGTTTTTTTAGAAGTTTGGGATATTTTAATGACTCTGGAGAACATTTTCCTCCAGTCTGGCGCTGCTGGGAGTGTTCCTGGCTCGGGGCAGTCGGAGCTGGCGAGGGGGTGCAGGTGGGTGCCATGTTTCCCATGGGAAGAGGTTTTCTTACTCCTCTCTCTTCATTTTTCAGCAGTGCACTAATTTTTTTTTTTCTTTTTTTATAACATCTCCCAGAAAACCTTTCTCCCCATTAATTTTTAGCAGGAAATAGTATCCCACTTCCAGACTGATCCACACTGGGCACTGCCAAGGGATCTCTTTATTAGAGATCCTCTTCCTTTCCAACCTTTTCCTTTGTTTCCATGGAAAAATACAATGCAGAGATCACAGCAGTTTCATTTTTTCAATGTTTGCAGGAATTTGAGTTGCAAGAAGAGGATGTTGGCCACAAATTCCATCCCCAAAACCCCACTTGTTTTGATTTCCAGTGTTTGATTTCCCATGTTTTATGCAAAGAATTCCAGCTGCTTTTTGCCCAGCGCCTTCCTCCCTTGTCCCTGCTGGGCTTAGGGGTTAAGCAGCAGCATTTGAGGAGCTCTAAATTTCCTAAAAAGTGATATTTTGAGGCAGTTTGGACCCGTGGATTCTTTCCCAAGGTATAGACATGGCAAATTCCATGCCAAAGCCACAGGAGGCTTTTCTTCCCAACCTGAAGCACTCGCTTGTGTACATATTCCTTGGAAATTCCATCTTTTCAAGTTGCTGTTAATTTTTTTAATGTTATATATAAAAAAAGTCTCTTCCTTGAGCTTACACTGTTGGAAGGAATCCCGTGGGGCGTTCCGGGGCTGTGGCGCTTCCGGCAGCGCCGGATCCTACGGAGGACACAGGTACAAGGTGTGAGCCAAGGCCCCGTTCCTGTTTTGTCTGTTCTTTGCAAATATTATCGGATTAAAGTTGTCATTTGAGCTGTGGCAGCCTCGTTACAGTGCAGACACGTGGGCCAAGGGTGTTGGAGCAAGGTGGAGGTGATTATCCCATAAATCCCACTGAGCTGTCCCAAAAAGGAACGCGAGCACTGCGTGGTGGGGTGGGAGCAAGAGGGACCCTGCTGGAGCAGGAATCCCCCCTCTCCCTCCTTTGCACAGAGAGGGGATCGATTTTATGGAGCTTGGGCGCAGCATTTGGTGGCCCTGGCCCTGTCACATCCACCCCTGTCCCCAGCTGGTGTGTCCCTAGCGGGGTCCCTGCCCCTCCTGGCAGCCAATGCCAGCCCCTCCTTGGGACCCTCCGAG